CCAGCAGCAGCAGCAGCAGCGCAACAGCAGCAGCAGCACAGCAGCAGCAGCGAAGAGGCACTTTATAAAATAGTGAGCAGGAACAGCAGGCCCACCGCCACAAAAAAGTAATCTACTCAAGCTTGCTGCAGGGCAGCTGTCCATTAGCAGCAGCACCAGCAGCAGCAGCCGTTATTGCTGCTGCTGCTGCTGCTGCTGCTGCTGCTGCTGTTAGACGCACCTGAAGAGCCCAGCGTCGCCAGCACAGGAGTGCATGCAGATGCTTCGTCAGTTAAGTCCTGCAGCTCAGCGTGTGTGAAGCCAGGGACTAACAGATTGCTGCTGCTGCTGTTGCTGCTGCTGCTAGGCGGCGCTGCAGCAGGGGCTTCCACTTTCCGCCAACGTACTGCAGCAGCAGCAGCAGCAGCGAGACGCGTTCGCACGGCCAGACTTCGCCGAAGCAGCAGAAGCGGCAGTAGCAGCAGCAGCAGCCGCGGCCCAGGAGCCCCAGCAGCTGTTGCTGCAGCAGGGGCCCAAACAGCAGCAGCAGCAGCAGCAGCAGCAGCTCACCTAAAACCTCGTCTCCATTTCCTGGGAAGACATCACCCTAAGAGTCACACACAGGCTAGCACACCCACACCACCCCTGCTGCTGCTGCTGCTGCTGCTTCTGCTGCTGCTGCTGCCGTTGCTGCTGTTGCTGCTGCTGCTGCTGCTTCTGTGGCTTGCCTGGCCTGTGCGCAGCAGCAACTTGGCTATGTTGCCTTTGTAGTGAAGAATCCGCAAATCCCCCAGGCGAGGGTCTGGGGCCTCGTCGTCGCTCTTGAAGTCGTAGACTGCGCAGCCAAACCCTAAACCCTAAACCCTAAACCCTAAACCCTAGATTCTGGACGGGGCAGCAGCAGCAGCTGCAGCAGCAGCAGCAAGAAGCTGCAAATTGCAGGGCCGCGGGAAGCAGCACGGCGAAGACGCCGCAAGCGATGCTCTTCGCCGTGACCAAACCCTAAACCCTAAACCCTAAACCCTAAGCCGAACACCACAAACCCTAGCCCTTACACAACCTTAAAGCCTAAACCCTAAACCCTAAACCCTACCCGGGGCATCGCTTTCCGCCTCTGTTGTTAGCCCAGCTTCCTCTTCGGACTCTGTCTCCTCAGCAGCTGCTGGTCTCTCCATAGCAGCAGCAGCAGCAGCGGCAGCAGCAGCAGAGGCAGCAATACACGAAGCGGTAGAAGCAGCAGCAGCAGCCGGGAAACACTAGTTGCTTTCGAGTTTTTTGAGTGGCTTCGGCTCAAAAGCAGAAGAATGCATCATGTGCAAACCCTAAACCCTAACCCTAAACCCTAAACCCTAAACCACAGCTTGTGCGCGGTTGTAGGAGCGCCCGCGGCTCCCCTATTTTGCCTTTTCCTCTCAAAACCTAATTTAGAGAATTTAATAAAAACACAACTAAATAAAAGCTCTCTATACACCCTAGTTGCTGCTTCCAGCTGCTGCTGCAGCACGGGGCCCCCGTGATGCTCTCTGCCCCCAGCAGCAGCAGGGGGCCCCCAGGGTTTCTTTGAGGGCCCCCAGCGGCAGCAGCAGCAGCAGCAGCTTCAGCAGCAGCAGCAAAAAGTCTGTAATCACTTCTTTCTGAAGTATTTGTCGCGCTACGTGAAGCCAGCGGGAAGCCGAAGCCCTAAACCCTAAACCCTAAACCCTAAACCGTCGTCTGGGCCTGCAGCTAAGCCAACCTGCTGCCGCCTTCTGGCTCCTCCATTGCCTTTCAAGGAACTTTCTCTTCCTTCCAAGAGGGTTTAGGGTTTAGGGTTTAGGGTTTAAAGTTTTCATTTCCATTTTCATTTCCATCCCCTCCTACAAATATGGAGGTAAGCCAAAATGTCTTACCACTAGTCCCCCCG